ATGACCCATGCCACTGAGACAGACGTCCTATATCAGGAAATCTCAGATTTACACAGAGAGCTGCATTCACTCCGTCACCCAAATCAGTCAGACGAGCAACCACCTCCATGATGACACTATTTCACTGCTTTCAGTATTTATTTTATTTCCTTTTGCATTTACTAACTTATCGCATTTCCAATTATGTTTTTTTTCATGACATTATATCATACCATTTATATTTATAATGCTTGCTATGTCATTTAACTTTTTTTCTTCAATTTTTATGTTTTCTGTTCTATTATGTCGATAAAAATATTTATATGTACGTGCATATATATATATATATATATATATATATATATATATATATATATATATATATATATATATATATATATATATATATATATATATATATATATATATATATATATATATATATATATATATATATATATATATATATATATATATATATATATATATATATATATATATATATATATATATATATATATATATATATATATATATATATATATATATATATATATATATATATATATATATATATATATATATATATATATATATATATATATATATATATATATATATATATATATATATATATATATATATATGAAAGAAAAAATTAGTGTGCCAGGTTGGATGATTTCTACTGCAACACACCCCCGAAAAAAAAATAAGGAGGAGAACCAAGGCCCAAAACAAAACACCAAAAATCCGGCCCAACTACCTTTTCAAAGGGTGGCGCCCGCCATATAGTCCATGGCGCCCGCCACGGGGTCTGGACTATATGCGGGGCAGAAGTTAGGACACCACCATTTTTGCTCCCAAAAACCTCTAAAACCCATTTTTGGCTACACGAAAATCCTCCCCAAGTCACCAAAAGTTCACAAATTTATCTTCCACTCACCAAACCATTAACCATTCCAACATCCATCTTTCATTTCCCTCACCAAAATCCATCCAAAATCCCATCTTTACAAAACTCAAAAAGTACTCATTCTTCATCTTCCTCAACCTCCAACATTCATCCATGGAGCACCATGGCTATGTTTTGCGTCAAGGAAAACCCGGGGAAAGACAACGGAAAATACTCGACAAACTGCGGAACTGAGACATTGCTTCAACAAGGTACGTGGAAGATAACTGCCTTTACTCTTTAGGTATCTATCATAGCGTATATCATTCATTAGACACTCTTAGCCTGCATGAGATTTTTTCCAGGCATGATCCTAATTTTGATCGGCTGACCAGGGAATTCTTGAGTTCTCTGATTTATGTTGTCAGACCCGACACTGCTAGCACAATTGGCACAGTCCAGTTCCGGATGTTTAATGTTGAACATTTGTTTAGTACGAATGAACTTGCGGAAAGGCTTGGATTACCTTTTAGTGCGGGTGCTATTTGTGAGGCACCTCTGGATTCTGAATGGTCTATGGAAGCATTTTCCTTCTGGCACAGGTTGTCGAATTTTAATATTTCATCTTTTGAAGGAATACTTGCTTCCAGGATCCATAACCCAGCCATCCGTGTGTTCCGCTACATGTTAGCATGCGCTATATTTGGTCGGGAGAATCCTAACAAGGTGAATGCCAAAGAATTACTATTTTTGCAAGGTTGCCTCACAAATATGCGATTTAACATAGTTCCATTTATGATAGCCCACATGAATGCCTCTATTAAGAGCACTGGAACCATGCCTCTGAACCTAGATGCCGAGATAGCCACTTTAGAGCCTCTTCCTCCTCGCACAATCAATTTGAAAATTTTGAAAGATATGAAATTGTGCAAAGTCAGGAGAGAAGGAGGCTTCAAGCTTATGATTCATGGGAAGGCTATCCCATCTGTTGTTTTACCCTGCACTAGACGCACCGATGTAACTAATCTGAGAAACTGGACCTATGATTTAAATGCTCCACCCATTACAGGTCCAATACCCCCTAATATTCTTGTTGGCGAAGGCGCTGATACTGATGACGAGTATGATCGACGAGAGCAATCTCCCGATCACCCTTTACCGCCTCGCCACACATCACAGACACACACTGCACCGTCTTCCTCTTACCATTCTGCAGGTACCGCACCCAGCTTTTATATATCTGAGCAGATGTGGCAAACACAACTAGCCAGAGAGGAAAGACGCGACAATTTGCTCAACACCATTTCGCAGCAACTGTCTGAGAATATGAGATTCATGCAAGAGTCTCAGCAGCAGATGAGTCAGTCCATACAAAGCATTATGCAATCTCAAGTTGCTCTAACCACCCGATTCGACGCTTTCGAAGCTTCTCAGACCGATCGCCGTCGCAGCAGATCCCACTGCCCCAGGTACTCCGAGCACGCTGCTGACAACACCGGTAGTATGCCCTAGTGTCATACCCCAAATTTGTCCTACCTTTTTGAAAATTTTCATTTGCCCGACTTTGTTTTTAATTTACCTCGCTTATACAGCGTAGCGTATTTTTCAGCAAAAACAGGCATTTTCGCTTTTTTAGCCCAATAAGGGTATGCCACGTGGCATTTGTTTTTTTATATGTATACCTTTTTTTTATATAATTTCATTTTTCTCGTGATAGGTTAATATAATGTTTTCATTTTTTAATTAGTTTTGAATTAGAAATTAGGATTTAAATTTAAATTTTTTAATTAAATAGATTTAATTTAGAGCTTAATTATAATTTAGAAATTTTAAAAAAAATATAGAAAAAAATAGAGTTAGAATTTAATTAGGATTTATTTTAAAAAAAATCAGATTAGATTTTAATTATTTAGTTTAGATTTAAAATTGTAATTAATAATTAGAATTAAATTAAATAGGAAAATATATTTATTAATTTAGTTTATTATTTAAGGTTATTTAAAGAAAAATAGAAAATAGATTTAATTAACTTAGTTTATTATTCAGAAAAATTAAAAGAAAAAAATAAAATAAAAAGAAATTGAAGGACACGGTGGATTTTTTTTCTTCGTTCAGATTTGTGGATAGTGTATATAAGGGACACTGTTCACCATACCCTAGAGTTAAGGATACTGTTCACAAAACCCTAAAGAATAACGGCCGCCCCTAATTCTGAAGGGGCAACCCTAAAAAAAATCCATCCCCAATTCATCCCCAAAAAACCCTAATTCATCCCTCTCCTAAATCGGCGCCGCAACCACCCACCCTCTCATCTCCGCCACCGTTCAACCCTCCGTCTTCATCATTATCACTTTTACCCTTCAAACCTCTCCTCCAACCCACCTTCTTCTTCATCCATCTGATTCAAAGCTTCAACAGAAAAACGCTTGTTCAAATACCAGTGTGGTTTGCTCATTCTCCTCCAACTCACGCAATGGTAGCAGCGACTCGATGGTGATTGAAATAAGGGCTAACAACAGCGGTCACGATTTAAGACCACAAACAACACTTCAATCATCATAATCAATTTCCCCACGATAATCATAGTGCCCAACAGGGTCGATTTCCTCCTCAACAGGCTTGGAACCCTCAAAATCGACCACCACCCCAACCAATTTCAAAACCCTAACAACCAATTCAAAACCTTAATCAATTGAACGAACGAGGTCCTGTTCAAGAACAAGCTCCGCCTCCTTCAATTGTTGACTTGACACGTTTTTACAGTGAGGGGAAGGTTAAAGAGGCGCTTGAGTTGATGAAAAAGGTGTCAAAGCTGATGCCAATTGCTTTGAGCTTCTGTTTGATTTGTGCGGTAAGTCGAAGTCTGTCGAGGATGCTAAGAAAGCCCATGATTACTTTTTGCAATCTACTTTTAGGAGTGATTTCAAGTTGCATAACAAGGTGATTGAGATGTTTGGGAATTGTAAAAGTATGACTGATGCACGAAGAGTGTTTGATCATATGCCCAACAGAAATATGGATTCTTGGCATATGATGATTCAGGTTATAACATTTCCAAGTTTCGATTATGCGAGCTCTTGGTGATTTTCCTTGGTGTTAAGGTTCATGCTTGTGTTGGTGGGACAAGTGTTCGGGAGGATCAGCGCATTCTCCAAGTCGGTGTTCACACTGTTGTTGGTACTCCGGGGCGTGTGTTCGACATGTTGCGAAGGCAGTCCCTTCGCTCTGATTGCATCAAGATGTTTGTTTTGGACGAAGCTGATGAAATGCTTTCACGTGGTTTCAAGGATCAGATCTATGATATCTTCCAGTTGCTACCTGGCAAAATTCAGGTTGGAGTATTCTCTGCAACAATGCCACCTGAAGCTCTTGAGATTACTAGGAAGTTCATGAACAAGCCAGTGAGAATTCTGGTGAAACGTGACGAGCTGACCCTTGAGGGTATCAAGCAGTTTTACGTCAATGTCGATAAGGAAGAATGGAAGCTAGAGACACTATGCGATCTCTACGAGACACTGGCCATCACTCAGAGTGTCATTTTTGTTAACACAAGGCGCAAAGTTGACTGGCTCACTGACAAGATGCGAAGCAGAGATCATACATTCTCGGCAACTCACGGTGACATGGACCAGAACACTAGGGATATCATCATGCGTGAGTTTCGGTCTGGCTCTTCTCGTGTTCTCATTACCACTGACCTCCTGGCCCGTGGTATTGATGTGCAGCAAGTGTCTTTGGTCATCAACTATGATCTCCCAACTCAACCTGAAAACTATCTCCACCGCATTGGTCGTAGTGGGCGATTTGGAAGAAAAGGCGTTTCGATAAACTTTGTGACATTTGATGATGCTAGAATGCTGGCTGATATCCAGAAATTTTACAATGTGACTATAGAGGAGCTGCCATCAAATGTTGCTGACTTGCTCCGATGAGCTGCGACCACCGAGCGAGGATCAAAGCTGCATCTCAACCGTGACGCGACGGTCAACTCAATGGTCTGGCTCGTTTTAAGCAACAATGTTTTGCATCTCGCAACTCAAGTAAACCGCACTTGGTCGAGAGATGATGTGCATCACTCTATTCACGCTCGCGGCATCGCGGATACGTTTCCCAGCAACAGTATTTGAAGATGAAGCCCACTGCCGCTAGATTGAAGAAACCCGACACTGTATCAAAGCTTGTTTTGGAAGAAGTAATTGGATTGACAACTAAAAATGGGAATGGGTTAGCTTCAAATTCATCTAGTTCCAAATGTGCTTATTCGGCAGGTTGTGTGGTGGTGATTCTTGATGTGAATTCCGGTACTCAATCGCATCTCATTGCGTCTGATAGATTGCAACCAAAGCCTTTGAGATGTGTTGCTTTGTCACGAGATGGCCGCTTTGTTGCAGCTGGAGAGACAGGAAACCAGTCCTCGGTACTAGTTCGGGATTCTTCTACTTTATCTGTTGTCTCTGAGTTGAAAGGGCATCTAAATGGAGTTACATGCATCTGTTTCTCACCAAATGGTAAACATCTGGTATCTGTCGGGGTTTATATTTATCTTTGGGACTGGCGGAGTGGTCACCTGATAACTAAGCTTCAAGCAACTTCATCTTCTTCTACTGTCTCAAGTGTTAGCTTCATATTAGATGCAAAATTTATTGTTACTGCTGGTAGAAAGCACTTGAAATTCTGGACTCTTGAATCATCTAGGAAAGCTCAACAAAATGGAGGGATGCGCAAGACAGTTAAGACTGCATCATTAACAATACATGAAAAGATTTCCAATCTACCAATTCAGAAAGAATGTTCGTTTACATCTGTTGTTTCTTCTGTGTGGACCAATAGCAGCGATGATAATCGCAAACAAGCTGGTCAATTATTTTCTATGTATACGTTGACTGATTCAGGCATTTTATACCTTATTCATTCTGGGCTGTCAGTCAAAAAGTCTGTTATCCTGAAGGTTCAAAAAGCTTTTGCATTATCAATATCGGGAAAACTAATTGCCTGTGCATGCAATAATGGAACAATCCTATTATATACTCCCGAGTCTCTAGAATACGCTGGATGTGTATTATATTCAAAGGCCAAGAAGTTTTATGAAGAAGATAACACCAATTACCATGCCATATTTCCTGAACAGAATTTCCAACAGTTACCTGCACTGCCTGATGCAGTTGCATGTCAGTTTTCATCCTCAGAAAAGCTGGTGGTTATTTACAGCGATCATAGCCTCTACATCTGGGACATCCATGATGTGAATCAGGCCACAAAGTGTTATGTGCTTGTTTCACATTCCTCATGCATTTGGGATATCAAGAATCTATGTTGTGAAAACATGCACGATCCATCTCTTGTATGCACCGCTAAAGGTTGTTTGGGAGGGATTTCTTTTGCAACATGCTCTACTGATGGTTGTCGACGACATTAACTTCGATTCTACGTCCAATAAATCCACTAGTTTGTTGTTCAAACTATAGAAGCCCTTGAAATTGTTGTACAACACAACATCTGCAAAATCCAACATGGTTACGACTTCACCGCAACGCCGAGAACGACTATGTGCTAGTTACTGATGTTGCTATCATTCTAGGTGCTGCTGCTATAGACTTAAGTTGGATAGCAGGTGGATTTGGTTTATTACCTTGAGCGCATGACTCTGACTCAACGGTAACAACAATAATAACAACGCCGGAAGAAATAATAACTTGTTGGATGCTCGTGCTGCTGTCGTAATTGCATACTCGACGGAGCTACTTTTCCTTCAACAAAAAAATTCCAAATCATCCAGCAGCAGCTACTGTCACTTGTGGCAGACTCACGACCAATTACAACAACAACATTGAAGCATTCAAAAACAAGCTCAGCAAACTTCTCAATCTGCAGGTCGAAGTTTCGGAGATGTAACTTCAACAGCTACAGGGCAAGATAATGAACAAAGTTGCGACAACATCGGCGAGTGAACGACACAACAAGCACCAGCAGTTGTGGCTCAGTTTCAGCAACAACATTGGTTCTGTTTCTCGCACACTTACGACGCCGACACCAACATGAGGGCACGTCTCACTTGGGACATCAGTGGACATTGGAGAGGCTAGGTTGTTATGTGCTTGATTCGCGTTGCCGATTCCATGCGTGTCCTGCTGCCGCTGTAGTTTTCAGACCATGAGGTCGCTGTAATTTTCTGAAGAGTAGGAAGACTCCGACAATATTGATACGGTAACAACAAGATTTCATCGGTTGCAGCCCCGCACTTGGTAACATTTCGAACTGAAAACATTGTAAATACAAACTTATTTAGCATTCTGAGTTGTGTTTTGTTCCCTGTTTCTGCTCCACATCCATGATTTGTTTGCATTCTGTTTCAAGTTATGATTCCCTAAAGCTGTAATTTATTTAGGTGCACTGATATTGGTAGGATGCAGTATGTTTGGTATTAATGATGTGATGGAATTCTTACACTATATTGGTTGTATTTTGGTTGTTGTTTTCAACTAGAATTTGGAATGAATTACATATATGCTTATTATAACATGTTTATTTGAAGCAGACCCGACTAATCATTTCCTTTCCCATGATATTCATGTTAATAGAGCAGTTGTTGCTTAAGTGTTTATATATTTGCATCTAGTAGGTATCTTAGATTCCTTTTGTTTCGGTTACGCTGAGTTAATGTGATGCCGTCGAATTTTATGTGCTTCGATTGTGCGACAAGTTCTTATGTTGCAGCTATAGTTAAACATTGTTGCTGCCTGCGGTTGCAGTTTGTTTTATGTTTTGTATAAACTGAAGATTTTGTCTTGGCTGTAGAGTATTCTTGAACATATGTTATTAATCATTGATGCAAGGTTTAGATGGCAATGCTGTAGATTTTGTACGTTGCTTTCGACATGGTTCTGTTGATTTATGTGGGCCTTTATCATGTTAGCTCTGGTTCGATACATTCCAGTCTCAGATTTTATTGGCTTTGTTATTCTATTGAATGTTTGAAATATGTTGGTGGTAATTCAATGGCTTTTTCTCGTGTTGACTTCGAATGATGTGTACAGTGTTGAAGATGATTAAGAGAGGATGTGGTTTATCTCTGTGTGATGATAGCAGTAGAATTTGATGTCGTGTTTGCAGTAAATTTCATTTCATGATAATTGGATGTGTTATATTTTCCCTTCCATGAGGCTTCTCCATTTGTCTACTGTTGGCCATGCGTGCTAGTTTGTGGGATAGAAATTATAACTATAATGTTAATTATTTGCTAAGTATTATATTGGTATTAGTTGTGATAAATATTCTAGTGTGTTTAGATTATATGTTGGATTCTAATGATACAAATAAACTTGTCAATATTGCAAGTAAGTTGAGGCTCATAATGTGACCTTGGGTGTTTAGAAAATAATTAAAAGTTACATATTTGGGGCTAAGAATAAGTAATGACTAATGATAATATTATCTAAGATTCGGATTATTATTTTCATATTTTATTAACCTTGTTTTTGACTTTTTTTTGTTAATATCAAAATTTTATAGTCCTAATTAAATTTTAAATATTTTAATTCAATTTATTTTCAAATTATTTTAATTAAATCACGAAAGTAGCGGGCTCTTGGGGTTTAGCACTCCTTGGGTTCTTGGACAACTGCTCTCGAGGCGTACGCCCTTGAGTTGTGGTTGTTCCGTCTTTCGGTTTCCAAAATGTTTTTCATTCAATTTAATTGAAATTTTTAAAAGATATTTTTAAATAATTTTTATTAATTAAATATTTTTATAAGGAATTTTAATTATTCCTTCTTTTAAAAAATATATTTCACAAATTATTCTCAAATAATATTTTAAATATTAATTCTTTAGAAAATTGTACTTTATTAAATAAGTTAAAATCATTTTAGGATACTAAATTTTTTTTTCAAAATAATTAATTATGATTAATTTTTTTATAAGCAATTGATTAATTAATTTTTGAAAATTAAAACTATTTTTCTTAATTGAATCAAACTATTTTTTTTAAATAAATTTCAAAAAACAATTAAATTCTTGGATCTCGCCTTCCTTGAATTTTTTTTTAAGCAACCGCTCTCGAGGTGCACACCTCGAGTTGTGACCCTTTCGATCTTATTTTCTAAAATACATAGCACGCCTAGTCTGAGAACGCTAATATTTTCAACTTATTTTCATAATTAAATCACGAAAGAGTCGAATTCTTGGAGTCACGCATTCCTCGAATTCGAGAATGACTACCATTGAGGCGTACGCCTTGAATGGCGTGCCGTTCAAACTTTCGTTTCTAAAATACCTCCTTTAATTATTTGTCCATGCTTTCACTTTCCGACAAACATATTTTATAGTTAATTGGATAAAAAAAGATTGTCGTCGGGATCTAGCATTCCAACGATATCCCGACTAATTGATTACGAGGCCGACGTCTCGTTTATCGAGTAGTCGTCATTCCTCTCAAATTTTCAACTCGTATAACTTTGTTCCTCTTCTTCAATTCAAACCCTAATATGCGTCTAAATGGTTCAATTCAAATTATTTTCTTATCTAAATTGCGAAAGAATTGAGTTCTTGGAGTCTCGCATTCCTTGAATTCTTGAGTAACCACTCTTGAGGCGTACACTTTAGGTTGTGGATTACCTGACCTTTCGCCTATAAAACACGTGCCCTAACTATTTGGACAAATACCATAAGTGTCCATTCAAATACAATTTCATAATTAATTGAATGAAAAAGGTGTTGTTGGGATCTAGCATTCCAACGATATCCCGACTAATTGGTTGCGAGACTGACGTCTCGTTTATCGAGTAGTCGTCATTCTCCCCTAAAATATTCAACCCAACTTTCTTCTCTCGCCCCGTGCGATTGAGACCTTCTCAAACATATTTCGTAGAATCTTTCGAATGAAAAAGGTGTCGTTGGAATCTAGCATTCCAATAATGCCCCGATTAATTGATTGCGAGACTGACGTCTCGTTTATCGAGTAGTCGTCATTCTCCCTTAAAATATTCAACCACGTCAAATCTCTTTCTCGCCCCCGTGCGACCATAACCTTAAAACCTAGTCAAATCAATCTTATTTTCCAAAACAAAATACTCAACAAACCAAAACTTCTCAAAACCAATTCCTCGCCCTCGCGCGATCCTTACAACTCAAAACACCTTTTACCAAGAACATTGTTTAGTCCTTTCTTCCGCGCATATGAACTCGTGCTTCAGCCTCCCCTAGCGAGCAGACAAGCCAACGTTTAGCAGTTAGAATGCGACCTAAACACTCGTTCATTTTCAAACCCTTTACCGTAGTTAGCCGAACTACGGCTGCTCTGATTCTTCATTCTCTTTCGAATGTAAGATACGTAGGCACAAGATTGCGATGATCTTGGCGAGCACAATCCCCTCTTTTTCCCGTAGTCCCATGAACTACGAATGCTCTGATTTTCCACTTCTTACAAGTGAAGATACGTAGGCACAAGGGCCCCAATCCTTGGCGAGCACCCTATCTATAAACCACCCATTCCCCCCATAGGAGAAACCTTAGAAGAAAACAAACAAGCGTAGCTAACTTTACTCTCGAATCGATCAAGAGGTTCCCGTTGAGTACAACGGACGTAGAGGGTGCTAATACCTTCCCTCTGCGTAACCGACTCCCGAACCTAGAATATTGGTTGCGATGACCATGTTCTTATCTCTTTTAAAGGTTTTATCGATATTTTCCTATTCCATCCTTGGAATGAATAAAGTTCGGTGGCGACTCTGTTTCGAACTGTATTTTCCGCGGCCATCGCGAGGATCGTATTTTTCGAGGTACGACAGATGGCGACTCTGCTGGGGACCCGCATTGCCCTATGCAAGAGAGAGTCAAGCCTAACTTAACTCGATTCGAGAGTACTAACCTTTTTGCTTAACTGTTTTTATTTATGTTTATTTTCTCCTATTGTTTATTTCTTGTTTTCTCTTTCTATCGTATGCTGTTTATTATATCTGCTTGCTGGATTCAGGGATAGCATTGCAAGTAAAGCTCTACACCCGAGCTTTGGAAAAAGAAGAGAGAAAACATAGTTTAGAATTGGTAGTAATTAGTGTTAGTCCCCAAGGACTCGCTCCTTGTGTGCCTAGCATGAAAGCTCCTCCAGAATAGACCTTTTCGTAGATCCTATCGTAACGCAGCTAGCCTGTTACACGGTTTGATTCGTGAAAGGTCCATGACTCTGGGAACCACTCTTAGAACCAATTTCTATATTGGTAGTCGTGTAATGTTAGTCTCCGAGGACCCGCTCCTCGTGTGCCTAGCATGAGGACTCCGCTCAGGAGAGACCCTATCGTACTCTCGTTATAATACAGCTAGCCTGTTGCGTAATGTTGATGCGATTGGTGTCCTTGATCTTGGGAACCTTATCCATCAACATAGAAGCTATCCCGTGAGTGGGTCTGTGGGTACAGAATC